CATATAGCAGAGGAATTCAGGGTAACTGGTACAAATCAGAGAGCTGTCATAAAAGTATTCCAAATTTTAAAACCATCCCAAAATAAAGGTTTTTTTCCCCCCCCTTCCCTCCCCCCACCCCACCTTCCGTTAAGAGACCAAATGGAAACCAGATGTTGGGGCAACACAGCCGGATCGTGTTTCAGAGGAGAATTTAAATGAAGGCGCAGCGGGACGGCCTTCTCCTCCCTTCCCCAAAAGTCTAAATTTCGTGGGATTTGCTGGGGGTTTTTTTCGGGAGGCATTTAAAAAATATGCGAAGCCGAGAAAGGAGGCCCACAGGAGACGTGGAATCAGGTGGGAAAGGAGCCTGAATATTGAGAAATGTTTCGGCAGGATTGCAAGAGACTCTGCTGGTTAGGATGTAGAATAACAGAGCGGGAAGGGACCTCGGAGGTCTTCTAGCCCAACCCCCTGCGTTGTGCAGGAGTCCCTAGGCCATTTCGGACAAATGGCTGTCCAGCCTCTCCTTGAAAGCCTCCAGTGATGAAGCACCCACAACCTCTGGTGGCAAGTGGTCCCGCTGGTTAATTGTTCTCACTGTTAGGAAGTTTCTCCTTAGTTCCAAGTTGCTTCTCTCCTGGATTAATTTCCACCCATTGCTTCTCCTGTCCTCTCAGGTGTCTTTGGAGAGTAGCTTGACTCCCTCTTCTTTGGGGCAGCCCCTGAGATATTGGACGACTGCTAAGCCTTTGTCCTCCTTCCATTTTTCAATGAAAAAACCGTCTGAATTAAAATTAAAAAGGGTCCCAGCTTCCTCTGCCTAACGTCCCCCCCCCACCCCGTCTCTCTTCTGGCCGCAGAGCAGAGCCTGAGCCCCAGCCACTCCTCCTCCTCCTCCTCCTCCAAACGGAAGAAGAAACAGCGAAGGAACCGGACCACCTTCAACAGCAGCCAGCTGCAGGCGCTGGAGCGAGTCTTCGAGAGGACCCACTACCCGGATGCCTTCGTGCGGGAGGAGCTGGCCCGAAGGGTCAGCCTTAGCGAAGCCAGAGTCCAGGTGAGAGCGAGTGGGTCCACCTCCAGGCAGCCCTCGGCTTGTGACCACAACTGGGGCCCGGTTGTTAAGTGAGTCGCATCTGATGTTTTCCTCTTCCTCGCCACAAACCCTCCTAGCACAGATAACGTTCCCTAGTTGGGTCACGAGACGTCTGCAAGGAAAGCACCCAGCTCAGAGAGCCCCCAGGGCCCCCGTTTCAACCCTGAGCTCCAAATCTTCTCCTCGATTGCGACCGGTGGGTCTTTTTTCCCCTCCAGGTGTGGTTTCAGAACCGAAGAGCCAAATTCCGCCGGAACGAGAGAGCCATGTTGGCCAACCGGTCGGTATCGCTCCTCAAATCCTACACCCAAGACACGGCCATCGAACAGCCCGTGGCTCCCCGGCCCACCACCCTCAGCCCCGACTATCTCTCATGGTCAAGCAACCCCCCCTACAGGTTGGTTCCAGCTCCCTCCCTCCCTCCCTTCCTCCCTTTCTCCTTCCCTCCCTCCTAAGTAGATTCCTTCCTTCCCTTCTCCTCCCTCCCTCCTTCCTTCTTTCCTCCCTTCTAAGAAGATTCCTTCCTTCCTCTTCCTTCCTTCCTCCCTCCCTTCCATCCCTCTTAAGTAGATTCCTTCCTTCCCTCCTTCCCTTCTCTTTCCTTCCTTCCTTCCTTCCTTCCTTCCTTCCTCCCTTTCTCCTTCCCTCCCTCCTAAGTAGATTCCTTCCTTCCCTTCTCCTCCCTCCCTCCTTCCTTCTTTCCTCCCTTCTAAGAAGCGTCGTTCCTTCCTGTT